AATTTGGAATATTTAGGTTGTACTTGGAAAGGGGGCATTGCCCCAAGGCTTACTGGCTTTCATGGTCCTCGAGTTAATAATTTTCCCGCCAGAACTTCCATGCGTCCTTACGGAGTACCACGCAAGCTTGGAAGCTGAATTTGAAATTTTTATCTCATACATGCACAGGGAATATCTCTGAAAAGTTTCATTCTCTTACCTTATCTGCCAGAAAATATGAATATTTTTTTGAGGCGTAGGCGGATGATAATATTGCAACAGGAGGGTCGCGCATGGTTTCTAATATCGCACATAAATATCGCACATATTCCCAAAGTTTCAGCTTTCTAGCTTTTCTGGTCTCGAATTGCAAGTGGGTGACAAAAAGTACGAACACACGGACACACACGCACGCACACACACAGCCTCTTGCCAATACACGCTTTTGCAATTTGCACATATGCAAAAACGCATAAAAGTATGTATGTATGTATGTATGTATGTATGTATGTATGTGTGTATGTATGTACGTATGTATTTATGTATGTATGTATGTATTTATGTATGTATGTATGTATTTATGTATGTATGTATGTATGTATGTATGTATGTATGTATGTATGTATGTATGTATGTATGTTGTATATGTATGTATGTATGTATGTATGTATGTATGTATGTATGTATGTATGTATGTATGTATGTTTGTTATATGCGTATATATGTGTATTTATGTATGTGTGTATGTATGCATGTGAGCATGCGTATATGAGTAAGTATGTATTTATGCAGGTATGCATGCATCTTAGATTTTGTGTATGCCGGAGAGTATAAGTGTTTGTGTTTTTGTCAAATTGTCAGTAGCCATATGCGCGTCGGTGTCTGGCACAAAATTGGCAAATGTATGCTGGAAACGCCACTGAACAAATAGAATGGTATTATTTTTCCAGGAGGAAGCGAAAGGTTGTTTTTTTGTGTGGAAATTTCCACCATAATAAGTTGCTGCTATTGATGTTCCGAGGGCTTTTTGTATTGCGAAGACGTCGGGTGGTTCTTTCGACGCTGCGCATCTGAGGTCTCTCTCTGTCCCTCCCTGCGTCCCTCTCCCTCACGCCACCCCTCACCAATTACTATAATGCATCGCTTTCGCGCAACGGTTAACTATTAACTTCCCTATTTTTAGTTGTTTTTTGGCAAATTTTGAAAAAAAAAAAAACAGAATCCCAGGATGAGCAAGGATAATCCGAGATGAGCGGATTTGTTTGAAGATAAATTGGTTTTATCCGCGAATGAACGGATTTATTGCCGAATGAGCCGAGATTAAATGATTTACTTCAAAAGAGGACAAGCATGCTTGGTGAACGTGTCTGATTTTGGAAGCTATTTAATCGTGTCCAGCAAAAAAAAAAGGGATTAGTTGAGGTTTTGCGCGCCATAAGGGCAGAACACATTGAAGAGCTGCTTTACAGTGCTGGAAGGCGGTAAATCGAAGTTTTACGAGATATTTTAGCGCGAACAGGCGTTTTTTAGCAGAATGTAAAGATCGCTGCGTTGCAGTGTGATCTTATCACCTGTACCTTGAATAAAAGCCGTTAAATTTTGGCCTGTTCACTGATGTTGTGATATCAACCTGAGTTTGGCCTGAAGTAAGCACGCAGTGTAATTTGGAAGCTGATTTCGAAGTATTCCCTCTCACATTTGTGTCCAAAATATCGAGTCTCTTCGTCTGTTCAAACTTGAATTTAGTCTGAATTTCGACCTGAATTCGTAAGCCCAGACACAATGAACTACTGAAACCATCCATAAAACCTTAATCAATAGTTGCTTCATGCAGCTTTGAAATTGGCACTAGAATCCTTTATCTGCTTTCAGATTACGATATCGGCCAAATTTTAGGCCTGACGCCGAAGATTAGCAGTGAAAAAGGCTTGAGAATTAATTTTAACTTCGTGTCCTTCACACAGAAATTGGGACTGCACTACTAATTAGACTGTTAATTTATTCAAGTTTTCATTCGATACACATACATACATACTCACAAGCACATATATGCATATACACCCGTACACATACGCGCACACACACATGCACACACATATATACACGCACGCATACCTACACATACAGCACACACGCACACAGACATACAGATACACACAATTACATACACAGACACACACATTTACAAACATACGCATTCACACATTCATGGATACACACACACAAACACATCCGCACAAACACATACACACATACACATAAATATGTGTTTGCTTGTACATACACGATATGGTGGTCTTGCAGTTTAAGCAAAAATTGATAGTGGAAAAAAGACAAGATTCTGATGGTTCGGAGATGTAAGCTTGCTTAAACCCCTATATTATTACTCCGAGTGTCTGGAAGCATAGGATATTGCCCTATTTCTGCTGCTGAGACGACTTGGTCGTCTGTATATAGCTCCGAATGCTACGGTCAGGTGTCAGTCCAGCTGGTTTTGTCAAAAGCATTATTAGCCACAGACCATCTGTCATTTCCGATTGACCATCTCACCAGTTCCTAATGCTTTTAGCAGAGGCTTTCAAAAGTGTACTGAGAATGAGGCACTGGCGAAAAGGACATCTAGCTAATTTGCATCAAAATCGACTGTTCCCTGAGTGTTTGGGGGATTCAGATCTTGTTGCCTACATTTATAGTTTTTTTAGTTTCATTTTTTAAAGTTTCAAGCTTTTTATGGTTTCAAAGTTTCATTTTCATTTTTGCCTACATTTAGATTTGTAGTTTCATTTTTATAGTTTTTACAGTATTTAGAGATTATAGTTTCGCTAATTTTCGAAGTCGGCTTTTGGATCCTCTAATCTAGCTCGTCATTTATTTCTTTTTAGCGTCTATGTAATTTGCACGTTATCACAATGCAATTATGATTCTTTCAGAACTGATTTTCGAGCTATCAGAATTGGTTCATGCACCTTCAAAATTGACCTAATGATTATCAAAACTGTATGACTTGGCTAATCAGTCAAAGCTTGCGGGTTGACAAAGACAGCCTGCATGTTATCAGTATTACCTTGTCACTTATCAAAACTAGACTGTCAAATTCCGGTTGCTGAAATCCGTTTCCATGATTAACTGAGCTGGCTTTTTACCGGTAATCAGAGCATGCTTACCGTCAAAACCAGCGTGCTATTTGTCAAAACTTGGAAGCTGGATTTAAATCTATAAGTTGTATGTGAGCAAGGAAAATCTCCTTAAAATTTCGCTTTACAGCTGTTCTGGTTCCTCAGTTAACAGTTTTCCCGCCAAAACTTTCACATATCCGTACGTAACCACTCGTACCTGGGAACTGAATTTGAAATTTTTAAGTCGCGCATAAAAAGAGAACACCTTTCCAAAATTTCAGTTCCTCAGCGTTCCTGGTCCCCAAGTTAGCAATTTTCCCGTCGAAACTTTTATGCGCTCACTTGTGGGGCCCAGGTATGCTTGAAGATTGGTTCCGCATTTTTCGGATAACGCTTGGCCAGAGAACCCACTGGCAAAATTCTACATCGAAGTGTGCTCGGTTGCCGAGTTCCAATTCGGACTGGCATACAGACACACACACGCACACACACACACACACACACACACATGCACACATACATCCATACACATATACACGAACCTACGTACACACGCCATGGATCGTTACAATAGACATTTTTATGCGTTTTTCGCAACTGTGCAATGCGAAACGCATATTGACGAGAAGTTGTTTGTGTGTGTGTGTCTGTCTGTCTGTCTGTCTGTCTGTTTGTGTGTGCGTTGGGGTTCTGTACTGATTTTTCATCTCGAGACTTACAAAAGCTACGGAGCTGAAACTTTGGTAACTTAATCTACATGCATGTACGGACCACCCAATATGGGTGGTCTTACCCGTGTGGTATTCACCTACGGTCCGTGAACGTCTTTTGCGGGTAAGCCGCTAACTGGCGAACCAGAAAAGCTAGAAAGCTGAAATTTTAAGAAGATATTCCCCGTCCACCTCAGTCTCACTGAGCTCAAACCCAGTCCCCGGATATGCGTGATACCACGTACAGCCCCGTGAAAGCTTTTTTTTGGGTAAGTTGATAGCTCGGGAACCTGTGAAGCTAGAAGACTGGAATTTTGAAGGGTTGTTTCCTGACAGCCTTGGCAGCCAGCCTGAAATTTTCTAGCTAGAAGCATCTGTCGGAAAAAAACAGTGCTGTTAGCGTCAAATATCTGCGTGGAACTACGCAAAAAACGCATCTTCGCACGGGCAGCCCATGCGTTTGCCAACTATTGTATTTGCATATAGGCGAAAACGCTCAACTTAGTCTATCAGGTATCAAAATGGGGTCGATAGTTATCAGTTGGCTCGTACTTTATCAGAATTGTTTTACCAGTTATCGAGCTTAACTTGCGTGTTATGAGAACCCGTTTACCGTTTAACGAAATCGAGTTACTAATTATAAGAGCCAGTTTGCATGTTCCCATAGTCGACTTGTTGACACAGTACTAGTTCGCGTGTTATCGATTCCAAATTTCAAAATCTGCTTGTCACTCGTGAAAATTAATTTGCCAGTTTATCGGATTTAGTTTGCGGGAAATTTTCCCTCTCTTTGGTGACAACAACTTTTCTTCCCAGTGTTCGTTCACGCAGAGTGATTATCTTTAAAGGAAATATGGATAGTACAATTTCAAATTTGAGGGCTTAACGTCGCCTTTGAACAGAGTAACTTTTGGGCGGGTGTAAAAAAAATCAATTTTTATGCGTTTTGTGCTGTGTAACAACAGTACAAAACGCATATTGTCACGGGGTTGTCTGTGTGTGTGTTTGTGCGTGTGTGTGTGTGTGTCCGCAGCAATTTGTCCGCAACTTTCAACTCGGGAACCACAAAAGCTAGGAAAAGCTGAAAATTTAGGGGAATGTTCTCCGCCCACGTGTGACCACGCAAATTTAAATTCAGCTTCCCCGTACCCGCGGGTTACGCGTACGGCCCCGTGAAGGTTTTTTACGGGTAAGCTAATATCTCAGGAAGCACGGAGTCTAGGAGGCTGAAATTTTAGGGTAATGACCTCTGCCCACGCTCAACGTTGCCCATTCAAACTCAGCCTTCCCGTACCCGCGGGTAAGACATACGGCCCTGTGGAAGTTTTTTACGGATAAGTTAATATCTCGGGAACCACGGAGTCTAGAAGGCTAAAATTTCAGAGCAATGACCCTCTGCCCACGCTCAACCTTGCCCATTCAAATTCAGCCTTCCCTTACCCGCGGATAACATGTACGGCCCAGTGAATGTTCTTCATGGGTAAGTTAGTATCTCAAGAACCACGGAGTCGAGGAGGCTGAAATGGCAGGGGAAGATCGCGCGCTTCCACTCCCATCCATCGCTCCCTCTCTCGCTTCATTGCCTGTCTATATAATGCATTTGTATTGCATTCTTGTCCCTCAGTGACCTTCGCCCACTGCTCACATCCACAATTCCCCATTCCCAGCAGCTTCTCTCTTGAGGGCGCAGCTGGACAGATTTTTTAGGGTGTCCTGAATGAACGGAGGTTGCTTTTGTTGTTGTTTCGCTGTTGCTGCTTGCTGC